TTTGGTCCAGTAATAACACTTTTGGTCATCTAGCTCCAGGATATAATCCAAACAAAGGGGAAAACCACATGGACATCTATTGCAGTGTTATCAATATTCATGAAAAATGAGAAATAACCTCAATTTCCAACAACAGAAAAATAAATTATTTGGGTGCCTACCTCATGTCAGTCTTTTTATATATTCTATTCACAGAAATTTAGCAAAGTGAATATTATTTTTGTTACCACTTTTTTTTTTTTTTTTTGGTGGGAGGCCGTGTCTGTTCTTAGTTGCAGCATGTGCAATCTTTCCGTTGAGGCATGTGGGCTTATGGAGGAGGAAATGGCAAACCATTCCAATATTCTTCCCTGGAAAATCCCATGGACAGAGAAGCCTGGTGGGCTACAGTCCATGGGGTCACAAAGAGTCAGATACAACCTAGTGTCTGTGCATACATACAGACTTAGTTGCCACGAAGTATGTGGGATCTTAGTTCCCCAACCAGGGATGGAACCTCTGTCTGCTGCATTGGAAGGCAGATTCTTAATCACTGGACTGCTAGGGAAGCCTAGTTACTACTTAGATTCTTTGCTCAAGGTCACATAACTAATAACAGACAGAACGCAAATTTAAACCCAGATTTATATGACTCCAAAGTTGTTATAAGAACAGCAAAATTGCCTTAACTCGAAAGTAAATTCTACCACTCTCTGGCTATGTGACCCTGAGCAAGTCAGTTAACCTCTCTGGGTCTCAGTTTCCTCATCCATAAAATGAAAATAATAACAGTGCCTTCCTCAATAGATTAAATGAGTTGACATATAAAAGTGTTTAGAACAGTTTCTATAAGAGATAGAAAAGTATTAGCTATTACTTTATTATATTTTCATCATATTATCCTGCATCAAAAGTCATTAATATAGATTTTAATCAATATGATAATTTTGTTGCAATAAAGTGAAAATATGAGAATATAAAATAATAGCTATACTTATAATTACAATGATATGAAAAGCATCCTATGAAAGGACAAAAACTAGAATTTTTATACCCCCTAAAATTTTATTTGTTGGGATGTGGGTACTATGGTGAATTTATTTTCTTTTAACTTGTAATAGCATTGTCTTATAAAAATAACAATAAAGGTTTTATTTTTTTTAAGTATCTTTAAGAAATTTTCAATAGTATGATTACATAATGCTATTTCTGCCATATAGAAACTATGCTAACTAGGGACTTACCTTTAGGCTAGGTTCTGTGAGGGACTCAGGGTTATTGGCTGAAGCAAGATATTATTACATAAGGATTAATTTCACAGACTCTGATATGACGGATCCAGGTTAAATTTCATGTCTATGGCTGAGCAGCTGAGTGAACTTAAGCCAATTATTTAACCTCTTAGAGTCACAGTCTCCTTATCTGTAAGCCAGAGATCAGAGCTACCTCATAGTTTTTTTTTTTTTTTAATGAGTAATAAATAAGATAATGGACATGATGCTTCCTTGACATCCCACCAAGACTATCACAATTATAATTAAATATTTAATAGAGTAATTAGTTGTTTAATGTCTGCCTCTCTAAGACATCTCTAATGTCTTAAAAAGATAAGCTCCACTAAAGCATGGAGTATCACAGAACCAGTATCCAGCACAATGCTTTGCACATAGTAAGCACTCAATAAATATTTGAATGAAGGCATGAGAACCTTATAGGAGTGGTCAGTGACAGTTTCAACTACAGAAGTATTATTGAGAGACTTCCCTGGTGGTCCAGCGGTTAAGAATGCCAATGCAGTGGACACAGGTTTAATCCCTGGTCTGGGAAGATTCCACATGCCATGGGGCAACTAAGCCCATGTGCTACAACTAGTGAAGCTCACATGCTCTATAGCCCATGAGCCACAACTACTGAGCCCACATGCAGCAACTACTGAAGCCCGTGTGCCCTCGAGTCCATGCTCCACAACAAGAGAAGCTGCTGCGATGAGAAGCCAGAGCGCTGCAGCTCGAGTAGCCCCCGCTCGCTGCAACTAGAGAAAGCCTGAGTGCATCAATGAAGACCCAGTGCAGCCAAAAATGATAATAAATAAATAAAAGATAAATAAAAATTTTAGACAACAACAAAATACAAGGATTATTGAGTTTAGCTTTAGCTTGGGAAAAAGACCTTGGCATGGGAAAAGGACCAAAGCAGTACAGTACCGGCTCTAGCTGTCATAGCAGGACATTGTGCGCTGCACAAAAATACTTGGCCAAGGGGGAAGTGGGGACTGATATCTAAACCATGAACCCAGTGGTGGCAGGGTGTACAGAGTATCTACCTGGAAGTAGAGCTATCTTTTGATAATTCCCGCACAAGGGAAGTGAGGTGAAGTCGCTAAGTCCTGTCCGACTCTTTGAGACCCCATGGACTGTAGCTTACCAGACTCCTCCACCCAAGGGATTTTCCAGGCAAGAGTACTGGAGTGGGTTGCTATTTCCTTCTCCAGGGGATCTTCCCAACCCAGGGATCGAACCCAGGTCTCCTGCATTGTAGGCAGACGCTTTACGATCTGAGCCACCAGGGAAGTCAGTTCCTGCAGAGACACTCCTATTTAGGCCAGCAGTGGCCATGTGTCACAGAATCAGCCCTCAAATTTCAGAAACATCAAGTCCTGGGAGAATATATTCAGAGCTGAAGATGGAATGGGGACATGACCATGTGGAAAGTCTTCCTACTGAAAAGCAGTATTTACCTTGTCCCAGCAAGCATCCTGGCCCCATTCACCACCCATCCCGCCAAGCTAGTCTCTCTGGTATCTCAGCTGAACATTTAGGTGGGGCTGAGGGAAAGACTGTTTTTCCACTGGAGGACATGAGTCAGTGAACAGTGAGGTTCCACTTAATCACTACCCAAAAACAAGGTTCTTAAAATTAGGAGCTAGAAGAGCAAGGAAGTGATTAATATAAAACTCAGGAGAGTGATTATTCCTTGGGCAGGGCAGGGTAGGCTGGGTGTGGGGGCGAGGGTGGGGGCAAGGGACCTGATGAGGAAGGGACACATAGAGGTTTTCTGGGGCTGACAATGTTCTGTTCTTTGACCTGAGTGGTGGTTGCTTTACAATTATACTTGGGTTTTATGTAGTTTCCTAAATGTGTATTATCACAATTTTAAACAGCTGGAAAAAACACAAACTATAAAAGGTTTTTAAGCAGGGAAAAAAAAATAACCAGATCACTTGGTGGTATTAAAAGATCACTTGGGTGTCAAACGGAAAATTGATTGAAGGTAGGGCAAGGCTAGAGCAGAGAAAACAGGAGGTGAGGTAGCTGCTATAATTTGGTGAGAGGTTATAATGACTGAGCTAAGAAGAAGTAAAATATCAGAGAGGTAGTCTATATTACTTTCTAAAACACAACCAAAATAAAACAGAGGCTGCCCCTGCCCCCTCAGCTCGCTTCTTACCTCTCTGTATTGGAGATATTTGTCTCAGGAGTTCTAGCCCAGGGCCAGGTACATGTTTAAGACACATAGGCCAGGCTTTCCACCTCCTCTCTCTCCCTGCTAACTCTACTAGAGGGACTCAGACTGTCTGGCCAATGGCAACTAGAGTATCATTTTTCATGACACCACGGTATTATCCAAGTTGAGCTAACACAGGGGTTTCTATCATAATATGAGATCACATCATAATATCTAATCACTGGAGAATCTGCAGAGTGTTTTCACATCTGGTCGGGAAGATCCCTTGGAGGAGAGCATGGCAACCCACTCCAGTATTCTTGCCTGGAGAATCCCATGGTCATAGAAGTCTGGTGGGCTATAGTACATAGGATCACACAGAGTCAGACACGACTGAAACAACTTAGCACGAACACATCAGAATGTTAGCTCCATGAGGGCAGAGGTTTTTTGTTCACTGCTATCTCCTTGGTGCCTGGAACTAAACTTGATACATAGCACGTGCTCAATAAATTTACTGAATGAATGGTCACATTTAAGTATTAGTATTGATCTTTAGTCATCACAATAATCTTGTGCAGAGAGGTAGGACATAAATTATTATCCCCATTTCAGAACTCAGAAAATAGAGACTCGGTGAGATTAAGAAACATGCCAAGTAGTTGATAATTTGGTTGATAACAGTCATGATTTAATTTTAGACTTCACACTTAAATTCTCTTATTTTTTCAATATCTTCACAACTGAAAAGGTAAGGTTTGAAGTCCTTACAGAGCCGAAACACCAGCTGGATGTATTCCAAAATACTTGATAAGTAAGTACTCTTAGGCATCCTATGTCATCTGATGTGCTGGGTTATAAGATGAATGAGGCTGACCCAGTTGCCACTGCATCAATAAGCACCGTTCCACGAGAGGAAATACAGTGTCCCTCTAGGTAATCAAACCTTAGGTTACCTTGTACCTATGTTTCTCCCCATCTCCCTCACCTTTCTCTACTCTCCATCCTAGCCATTCCACCCCTCCAAGCAAAAGAAGATTAAGGAAACCCTGTTACTGTAAAAGCACATGTTCTCATATTTTTTTCTTCATTAAAAAAAAGCAAAAATGAATATGGCAGAAAGTAGTTAGGGTGCTCTTCAAGAGTTTTTGTCATCTAAATGGAACCCACAGGAGGGTTCCATAAAAGCATAATGCTCCACGAAAAGTTAGTCTTGATTTCTTTCCTCTTGACATTAATTAAAATTAGATGTTTGAAGTATAAACCCAACTCAGGTACCTGAGAACTCCAGATGTTGAATTAATATCACATTTATGCAACTGGAATTATGTATGTCATCTATAGGAGTCCTAGTCAAAGTCTAAGACCTAGCAAGTAAAATATTTGAAACTGTATTTTGGAGAGAATATCTAGAATACACACAAACCACTTAGAGAATTCAAACTTTTAGGTTGCCTTCTTCCCCTGAAAGTTCTGAAATTCACTTTATCCGAAGAACAATTTGATCTATGAGAGTTGAACCACTGTCATCGAACAGTCTATGTAACTAGTCTGAGAGTGTCACACATAGAACTTACCAGAAATTCATTAGCAAACTCCTCTTTGTTACTTTTCCTGTGTTGTGCCTCATCCAGGAACTTCTGCAGAATTTCTCTTTGGTCCATGCTGCAGGAGAAGAGAGACAGTCTACGAGTGGGTTAAGGGAGGGCATGTCAGATGTGTGTCATGGCCGAGATAGCACTGAGAAGCCACTGCAGCCGCTTGAGCAGAGCATGTTGAAGGCTGTGGTTTACTGACTTCATCACCAGCCCTAGAGGAAATTAGTATGTAACCAGCCTCTGTGGTCACACAACAAAGCCAGCACCCTCACTCCTGGGCCCTAGCGCCTTCCTTCTCAAGAAAGCAACCTGGTTGCAGTTTTTAACAAACAAGAGAGTAGTTAGAACACAATGTATGTGTGGTCTGCTTATCTCTGAGACTACTCCATTCCATTGCCTGTAAGCAAACTTCATCATTTTTCTTGCTTCCTAGAGAAAAGGCAGAATTACAGGTTTCCTGGATGGTTTCTGCCACCTCCCATTTCCCCAATGAGCACAAAAACCTGTTGACACCTTCTATTTCCTCATGTCCCAAAAGAACTCCATAAACGTTCTTGTGGGCCCAGAAGAGGAGACAGTTTGGAGATACTGTTTGGAGTTAAGACACCTTCTAAAGCTTTCTTGTCAGTATGATCAGTGGCAAAAGTCTGTCCATCAAAGAAGGCATTTTTGTTGAATTTTTGCTTCTGCCATATAGACCTAACTCTCTTTCAGATGAAGCAAAGTCAGCTGCTTCTGAGAGTCTGTGTCTCTCCCAGGGCTGGGGAAGTGCTCACCTCCAGTAAGGGAAGTGCAGTTGATTTCAGGACCGCCACCCCCACCTTCCAGCACTTTCTGAGCTTCATTTTGTTTCTGGATATAAAGACTAAGAGTCCTGGTCTACATGGGATCCACGAGCAGTGGCCCCGATGAAGAGGACCTGACCAGGAAGTTGGCACAAAATCCCCTATATTAATGCTAGTAAAATATGAGGGAGCAGAAAGAGGGTAACCAGGCAAGAATACTGGAAAGGGTTGCCACATCCTCCTCCAGCAGATCTTCCTGACCCAGGGATCAAATCCAGGTCTCCTACATCTCCTGCAGTGGCAGGTGGGTTCTTTACCACTAATGCCACTTGGGAAGTCCCAGTAAAATATGAAGGAACAAAAAAAGAGTCAAATCAACCACTCTGCTGACAACAATACACCTTTTAAGGCAGAAAGCCTGAAGAACTATTTCTATAGAAGATATTTATACTCTGCAACCAAAGCCTGGAGAAAAGCCATTGTTTCTGGAAGCCACACTGTTCATGTAGGGTTTGGGGCCTGCTAGGAAGGCTATTCTAGAAAAAGCTCCCGTGTTTCAGCTTACATGAGCTCTCTCCTCGATGGGTACAAAAAACCTACCCAAGCGTGTCTCATTTGGTGTGATAACAAACCAAAAATCAGTATAACATCTCTATTTGAGGACAGAAGATCAGTAAATGTTAACAAAATGAGTCTGAACTAATCGTGAAGAAAATTTGGAAATGTGCTGTTAGAACTTCCTCTGTTTGCTATTAGCAATCCTTTCTGTTTTGCAACATTATTCAAACTTCCTTTAGGAAATGATTCTAAACACTATTCGGCTGCTTCTACTTTATTGAGCCTTATAACAGGGAAGGAAAGGTCAGTGAGGTATCTTGCTTACAGGCAATGTGAAGTCAATGAAGAATTTCAATTCAGATCCACCTAATAAAATGAACAGTATCTTCAACACCTGCTGAGAGCAGAATGTTGGGAGAGTGTGTAATATCCTCAGTTCTGTCTCACTGCGTCAAAGATTTCAAAGAGCGGACCAGTGTTAGAGCTCAGAGTTTTATTTATTCCATAAACAAAGGATAGTACAGCCTCAAGGCCTCAATCGCTCTTGGCTTCCTCTTTTTATACGTTTTGTCTCCTCCCTGCTGAGCCTGCCCTATGCAAATTAGGGCTAGCCAGGAAGGGGGCATGTTTGTTTCACCTGAGGTTCTCAGTCCAGTCCATGGATTTTCTCTTATTCCGTTTTCGTGGGCTTTTTCCTTTCTTTGTCTTTTCAGTTCAGTTCAGTTCAGTCGCTCAGTCGTGTCCAACTCTTTGCGACCCCATGAACTGCAGCACTCCAGGCCTCGCTGTCTATCACCAACTCCCGGAGTCCATCCAAACCCATGACCATTGAGTCGGTGATGCCATCCAACCATCTCATCCTCTGTCGTCCCCTTCTCCTCCTGCCCTCAATCTTTCCCAGCATCAGGGTCTTTTCAAATGAGTCAG